CTGGGGAGCTGCGCCCCCGGAGCGGCAGAGGAAGGAGGTGCTGAGCAGGGCCCTGGCTGAACAACGGGGCAGCCGTCCCTGTCCCGGGCCCTCAGGGACACCTGTATGAGGTGGCCACGCTGCTCACAGCAAGATGGACAAGCAGCACGGGGCAGAACTGGGAGAAGAGGTGCACGCAGGGCCTCCCTGCGCTCGCCTTCTGCCCCCCTCTTCTCGCTTTCTAAGATGTGGAGAAAGATGTTCCTGCCCCTTTGAAATACACACGTTTATATATATATATATAAATACACATAATACAGAGAGTGCACTTTAAGTGATCAGATGGCACAAACACCAGGAGCTGAAGATGCTGCAGGATATAAAAATAGATAATGAAAACAACAACAAAGCCCCTGCAGCTCGGGAGCATGCAGTTATCTGCTCCGTTCCTACTCCTCCATCGGTAAACATACATTTTTATACACACTCACAAAATAAATAAAAGAGGCATAAAACCGCAATAAGGTGCATATGCATAAGCAAGGATGCCTCCTTACACATTAGGCTGCTACCCTGGAAGCGGGGAAAGCGAAGCAAGGGGCGAGCGCTGTGCCCAGTGGTTCACGTTACCAACCACCACTCCAGATCCCCGACCTTTGGCCAGCCGGCAGCCTCTGTTAATCTTTGAGTTGCTCAGGAAGATTTAACTGTATTGTCGAAGATCCAGATTCTAGTCTGAGGGTCAGACCCAGCCTCCTCCAAGCTCGAAATAGTAATTAGCAGTGACGCTACTTTGCTCCGCTGCTTTCAGGTTGTACGTTCAAACGTAGCAATAATTCCTCCCCCTCAAATTCAGCTCACAGGAAAACGGGAGCAGCAATCGTTAGGAACGGGCACCAAGCAGGTACCTACAACACAGAAGCGCCCACACGGCTTCAAAGGGCAGATGCTGCATTAAAGCAACGTGTCTCTGCTGTGCAGAGCGGCGCGGGCGCCTGCGTCCACGCTGAACCAGACAAACCGCATTCGTGCTGGTGGCTGCCTTGAAGCCACTTCTCCAGAAGTGTTATCCTGTCCCATAACACCAACAGCTCACTGCAGCCAGGGGAAAGGAAAGCGTAAGCAAGTATGGCCACTGCAACGAAGGTTAGCACTGTTACGTAACGAGAATCAGAAAATAAAAGAAGTCTGAACAGGTGTATGTGTACACATCTATACTCAGTACTGCAGGATGGTTAACTGCAAGCAGATATGCATGTCACCTTTAGTAACGCTAGAAAAACTGTTAGCAGAAATCTTTTAATTCTACTGTATTTGATAGATTACAAATCCTCTCCTAAAAACTCCTGAAAGCAGCTTAAAGTACAAACAAATAACCATTTTGCAGTGGGTGACAAGAGACCAAAGAAAGGAAAAGATGGAATAATAGCTCCATAAGTAACAAAGATTTCTTGAATACAAGAGACAGAAAAGCAGAAGCCTGTATATTTCTATGACCATTTAACGGTTGGAAATTTTAGGAGATCTGCTCAGTTGAGCTGCGAGCTTTTAATTAAGGCAGCAGGTACACTGTATAATAATTTAAAATTCTCAGGAGTGAAGCATCTCAGAAAATAAAGTACCTCCCATTGCTGTCGACTTTCTTTTTAAATTGAGGTGACGTCTTCTCTGCACTCCAAGATGAGAGAAGGAGCTCAAGGCAAGACACCACTTGGGGACAACCACAGTTAACGCGCCTAGAAGTGCCTGCCTGGTTCAGAGCAGGAGGCAGGAGAGCAGTTTCATTCCCGGTTTCCTCACTTATCTTCAAGCCACACTGCCCTGCCACGGCGCTCACGAGCCCGTGTTTTTCTCCAGGAAGGAGCGAGGCAGCTTTTGATTTCATTTTGCGTCTCGAGCGCCCCACAAGCACCAGCTGGGCAGCTGCCCTGCACCTCTCCGGCACCAGCTCCCTGCTCCAGTACTGTGCAGGATCCTGGCCGGAGGCAGCGAGAGCGGAGCAGGCCCGTTGAGACTCCCTTCCAATTTGGAAAACAAGTCACGTGCGACACGAGTTCGTTTTAGGCTATTCTACAGGAACCACCATCCGCGGCGCGAGCGGAGCCTGCGCCGGGGCCGTGCAGGGCCCAGGGCTCCCCGCTGCGCCCGGAGCGGCGCAGGGAGCGCTGGAGGAGCTGCGAGGCGGGGGCCGGCGCTGTCCCTGCGCGACAGCCTCCTGCACGTACACAGCGAGCGCCGGAGCAGCAAACAAAGCTGCAGAGCCTGCGCGCAGCCGCGCGGGCCATCGCGGCACAGGTAGCGCGGGGGGAACGGCCACCCGTGACGGCGAGCCCAGCGACAACCGCGACAAACCCAGCGCATCTGCTCGTGCTGCGATGGGGGAGGCGGCCGGGCTGCTGCCTGCGGTTTATAAATAAACGCTGCGGGGGGGGGAGGGGGGAAATTAGTGCCATGCAAAGAGAAGCCCGGGTGGCAATTACGGCGTTAAGGTCCGCAGCGAGGGCCGCTGCCGGCGAGCGGGGAGCAGGAGCAGCCGCGCAGGGCGGATGGCTGAGGAGTGCAGGGAGCGCTGAGGAGATGGTGTACGCGTGGCAGTGTTTATATGAGCGATCAAAACAGAGCCAAGCCCATCCAGGGAAAAAAATGGCGACTACCGGGATGGGGGAAACTAAGACGCCGGATTAGTTATTATTTTTCATAAACGTATGCGCTGCACATAAGCTCGACACATTGGAAAAGCGGCCGGTTCATTCTGGAAGAGAGGTGCGTCTATTACCTGTTATTCTGGGATTTTCTGGCCATGGTGCCTGCCTTTGTTTTCTTTCTGGAATAGTCACTATCGAAGGGTAACACTGATGCATAGCCATGTTCTGCTTCTAGGGACAAAGTCAGCATTAGTGGCAATATATTTTTTCCATGCATTTTTTTCCTCCTTTGCAGGAACGCTAGGGTAAAGAACAGAATTTTTTTTTGGTTGATTTGCTTGGATTTTATTCTGGCATCTTTAAAAAGAGAAAGAAACGAGACAAAAAAAAATAATGTAACAACTCAGTAATAATAAAAAAGTGCCCAAATTAGGAGGATTGAGTGCATATTAAAAACCAGGCGGATCATGCAAAAGAAAACATAAAAATAAAAAAATAAATCTCACAACACTGCACTAAGGCCGGGGG